AGATATATAACATTTAAAACACCAACTCTGTATATAACATAAAAGTACAATATACTATGTGTATGTGTTGTACCATTACCAACAAAATTATAAATAAAGTGCAGTCCAATGTCCATTCACTGATCAGAAAAAAAGTGCTCAGTCCTTCTTAACCAAATAAAATCCACGGAACTCTCTTCTGAATGCACATGTGACTTCACCATAACAAATTATGTGTATTTCTAATAACATGCATGCTCTGATACAAAAGGTGCAAAACAATCCCACCACCTGTCTCTGCTGCCTCTTACCTCCAATATATGACCCACCATAAGGTGAAAGTCAAATGCGGCTTCCCAGATCACTGGGTCAAAGGAATGCTGAAATCCTCCAGGCACTTACTGCTCATGGACATATAAAAATGTTTCCACTCACCAGGAAATAAAAAGAATAGGAGATCTCATAGTTTAAGTACAGGCGTACCTCGGTTTATGAACGCCTCCGTTAGCGTAATTTTCGGTTTTACAAATGAAAATCCATTGAAAATAATGCCTCAGTTTAAGAATTTTTTTCGCAATACGAATGGATTAATTGGTTTTCAACGCATTTACGAAATGTTTTTAATCATGTCCCTGTACAGTAATTATGCCTTTAAAGTGCACTTTATAAAGAGTTTTGAACAGATAAAGACTTTTTTATAAACTTATTTCTGACCTCCGGAACGGATTAATTGGTTTTCAATGCATTCCTATGGGAAACTGTGTTCCGGTTTATGAATTTTACCAATACGAAAAGTCCTGCAGTAAGCATTAAATTCGTAAACCGAGGTATGCCTGTATTAAAATATTACTCACAAAAGAAGTGCACTCTATAATCCAGTGTACTGAATCCAAATCACTCTTTTTACATAAGCCAAGCTGTTCCTTTACGTTTGGACATCGATGGAACAGATATGGTAAAATGGCCACTAACAGGCTTCCGGGCATGCTGACGTCACGCAGTAACACCTCTGACGTGTTTCGTCACTCCGTACACTGACTTCCTCATAGGGATTAAGCTTTGCCAAAAAGCACCTTGAAGAATCTAAGGCCAGATGGCAAAAGATGTTTTGGTCAGATGAGACTAAAATTAAATTATTTGGCCTCAACATTATGGAAATCCAATACAGCTCACCATCTAAATAACACCATTCCTACAGTAAAGCATGGAGGTAAAGCATGGAGGTGGTAATATCCTGTTATGGAGGGGGGAAAGGAGGTTTTCTGCAGCAAGGACTGGCGCACTTATCAGGATATTAAAAAAAAAAAATGGATGGGGCAAAATACCATCAAATTCTTGAGGAAAAACTGCTGCCCTCTGCCTGAAAGTTGTCAGTGGGAAGAAGATTTCCAACATGACAATGACCCAAAGCACACAGCAAAAATGACCACAAAGTGGTTGAAGGAGAACAAATTACAAAATAGAGTAAATACAACTGGATAAAACAAAAACTGTCTGTCTTCATTTCAGGCTGCAAAGCAACAACATGTGATTATTTTAAAGGGGGGTTATTCTTTTCTATACCCACTGTATTAGCCAATTTGAGTAGTCTCTACTTTTTTGGATCAGTTCTCTCAACAGTAATGCACAGAAACCTAAATATGGAAAAACACAGAATCCTTGGGGTTGATTTAAAGTGTAACTAAAATAAACACTTTTTTTTTCCATTTCAGATAGACTGAAGACGGATTAGAACACCTGTCAGTTTTTATTGTTGTCTGTGCCCCCCTTTTATGGAGATCCACCCTCTCTATTTTTCCTATTTACCATTAGCGATGAAAGTGAAAACAGAAAATCACACATTTTCGGTTGTCCCCAGAAAAGTAAGAGAGGGGAAATCTTCCAATAGGGACATTGAGGGGTTCTGGTGACCTGGGGCCCCCCATGGATTCCTTTAATTTTTAGGGATTTCCTCTCACTTCCTGTTTGGCTATGGGAAAGGAAGTGAAGGTAAATCTCCCCAGTGGGACACTGATGGCAATAAAACAAAACGAAAAACCTTAAAGGGGTTATAAACCCTCCCCTACTCAATGCTCAGTCTATGTGCCTACAGTAAATCCACCCCATTACATGTAGTAAAATATATCTATTTTCTCCTGTCATTTCGCCAGATTTTTAGAGACTTTTTTTTTTGTGTATACAAGCATATACATCATTTGCTGCACAAACCTCCCAATCACTCCAAACATAATACAATGTACATACATGTCACAATGGTCTAATCCCTTGTTAGAACAGATCATATGTTTTCTTTTACACCTTTACTTTTTCAAAAGAAGAGATATATTTGGCTCAAATATTCACAAGACAGAATCAGATTAGACAAGTATTCTTACAAGTGTGGAACTTGAGATGTTAGGAGAGGGGAGTCATCAATTTGAAGGTTTGACAGACGGATACCAGAGTGACACGTTCAAGAACATTAGAGAATGACAATGGCTATTCTCTAACAAGACAAAACACGTGTGTCCAAAGATATAGCAATGAGTTTAACAGATGTCACAGCAAAAATGGCTTTAACGAGTAAATAGGCCCGGGTTTAAACTGATGCGAACTGTCATGCAATTTGCCTGTTCAAATTGCATGACAAATTGCATCCAATGATCGCCAGTAGAACCGGACTAATCAGTGTGACTTGGACTTCGCCAGAGACACACCGATTATAAAAGTACAACTTTTGGCAATTCGGGGGTGCGATTTGCATTGATATCTGAGCATGAAGTCACACAGATGTCTATGAAGTCACACTGCCGCCTGACTTGAAAATCCTGTGACTTCACTTGAATTTGCACAATTTCAAAGTCAGATCCAGTGTGAACCAGGGCTAAAGGTAAAACTTTCATTTTCATTTTGGATAAGCAAGGGGGGGATTAAACCCGTTAGTTTTTTTTTTTTTGCCATCTGTGTCCCATTGGAGAGATTTACCCATTATTAGTTTTCAACGTGAACCCAAAATGTGGGCTTTTCTTTAACTTTCAGTGATATCAATAGCAGCTTCCCTTTGACTGGTATTTCTGTCATCTTTTTTTCTTTTGTATTAATACATATGCTGTGGGGACCGAACTGACTTAGGGTCCTTTCGCATGGGGTGGACCAGTTTAGCAGATTCGCATGCTCAGCGGGGGATCTCTCTGTTGATCCATGCTGAGCAAGCCGATGACAGCTATGTGTCCCCTCCACTGCAGCAGAGCAGACACAGAGCAGCTCGCTCTCCTCAATGAGCTTTCGGATGAAAACGGTCCTCCTGTCTGTTTTCGTCTGACCCGATCCAACAGACGGAATGGGAATTGGATCCTCATTTGTCCCTTTTTGGCGGATCGGATTGGATGTTGGTGGGTGTAAAACGGACACATGTCTGTTTATACCCGCTACTCCAGTGAGAACGAAGGTTCCAATTGGGTCCAGTCGAAACGTCTGTGTGAAAGAGCCCTTAGTGAGTTGGCAGATTTATACAGTTTAAACCATTTTACATCTTTATTAGCAATAACAACTGACGGGTTTTAATACTACTGCACTGTATCCATCCCACTGGATAAATCGCATTAGATAAAGTATCGCACATTTTGATGAAATACTGCATGCCTATTTTAGTAGCTTTTTTTGTGAATTGCAATGAAATGTTTTGAAAAATGCTATGAGCTATTTTACCTCAGATTTTAAAGAGGAAAATACGGCTTTGTGAACTGAGACCCTGTTCTCTTACCAGCTTACCTGCCTGCTAGCAAATTAATTAAAATTGTAGACTGAAATGCACATATGCAGCTCAGCGTATAATCTCAGTATTCCTTGGTGCCTGGATGAAATCATTTATGTCATCCCAGGCTCACGGACATCACAGTTCTGGAGAGAAAGTATGTAAAGTGAACTTTAGATTACTTTTGAGTATAATTTAATAAAACAAATTTCCAAGTAAACACTAAGAAATTCAGACAAACAATCATCCGGTTTTCCTCGATGGTTCACAGCTTTGAAACTGAGGAGGGTTACCAATTGTACGAAAATTCTCATACGACAAAGGCTTCTTTTTTGTTGTTTATGGTTTCTGATCATGCGCAGTCTTTTGTATCTGATTTTTTTCATACAAAAACTGCACACATTACACGACAATCATTAGTTCTATTCTCGTACGACAAAAATTTTGGAGTTTGTCTCTTCGGAAATTTTCATTTGGACAGTCTGAAATCGGGCGCCGAAAGGTGATTACACACTATACAAAAATCGAATGATCGTGCCTCATACGGAATTTTTCTTCGTTTTTTAACGCTCGGCTAACGCTCTGCAAACGCCGCATGCGCAGTTTAGCGGTGGTTGCTAGACATTTGTCGAGCGTTAAAAACACCCCACAAACACCTATAATGAAGTTTAAATGGTGTTACCGCTCCGCAAACGCCCCGCAATTGCACCGCAAACGCCGGGCATTTGCGGAGTGGCACCATAGACTAGAATAGGAGGCTTCAACGCCTCCTGACTGGACCAGAGGAGTCCCTTTTGCCGCGACGCTAACGTTCCCGTTAGAACAGCACCATGTGCTGCAATGTGCAGAATTGTCCGAGGCATTTGGGAAGTGGTAAAAACGCTTCCCAAACGCCTCTCTCCCGCCTGCACACAACGCTAGGTGTGAACATAGCCTTAGGGTTGCATTCTGTCTCCTGACCACCAACGCAAAGGGGCATTGTACCATTCGACCCCCAATGAGTTGGATTTAGCAAGGGTTTCCAGGAACCTGAAAATTATTTTATGTGTTTCTCTGGGATAAAAGGGTTGAAAAAGGCTGCTCTAGTCTAATAAACAATTTTAAACACATGATTTAACACATACACATCAAACACATCACATGATACATGAATTCTTCAGCCTCATTACCTTTCAGGTGACATCAATATATTACAGGCACATGATTGCAACAGATTTCTTTATCCATATACCTTCCCACACAGCACTAATCATATGCCCTCATAAAAGCTGTCTCCTAGATTACACACCTCAATTCCACAAAGGAAATATAGAAGTGAATTCTCCAGATCCTGGAACGCGAGATAGGTCTGTGCAAGTGGTGTGACCAGTGTCTGCAGAGGAATACAGCAATATGTTAGATCCAGTTTGTCTTTATTTGGAGTGATCAATCTGTCATACTCACCTCTAATGCTGTCTGATTAAAGAATGTCACAAACTGAGCTGTCAGAAGCACCACAATTTCCTCCCGCAGCAGCCCTACAACAAGTAATGTTGGAAAAAAAAAGAAACCTTAGGAGAAATACTCCGACCCCCTACTTATATGGGATTGATATGCACATGTCTTTGTAATATTAGACAAATAATATAAAATAAATGTATTTGCTCAGTGGAAACATTATTCGGTACAATTTTTTGCAACTTTCATTTGCAGCCCAAATTCTTCATGTCAAAATACAAGAAAATATGTTTCTGCTTCACAACATCAAGCAGTTTCTACGAAATGGTCAGCCATGAAGAACTTCTGTGTAGCTGAGGTTATCATCTACAGATTGCAGCAAAAATGAAGACTTAGACTAGTTCATGTTTGTTCAGTAATCAATTTTAGCGAGTTGTAGCCACCAAATCAACAAAAGTTTTCCAGTATGTCCCTTCGACAATCAAACAATTGGCTTTGGCTGAGCACAGATGACAACTCACGGATCAAAATTCAGCTGCTCTTTACTGAACCAGACAAATTAAGATCCATCCATGGCCATCTTAAGCCTAGTTAGAATATGTGAATTTCTACCATTACGTAAGAGCTAAGGGTATAATGACTTAGGCACTTTGGGACACCTGAAAGACTTACTTTTACAGACACCCCAATATAAACCAAGCAATATCATGGTGAAGGAAAAACAGGATAGGATGTTTCAATTAGAAGTCTGAAAACTATTACCAGCAGTTTTGCCAGATGCATTAATGCATTCCTTATGTTCCTTTAAGAGATCGGAGGTCAGCTCAGTTGTCTTTTTTTAATGGAGTTTAAGTTGAGGGGAAGGGCCACGAGTCTTTGTTTACCCTTTTATGTGGTTATGCCAGGTGATATTTGCTTACCTCAATTTTTTTTCACACATTAGAAACTTGTAAAGCATAATACGCTCATAAATACAGAGTAATTGGTAGTTACTTAACGTATTTTTCATACTGACTTAATTTATGGCGCTATACAGTTTAAACACAAGACTATAAGCACTTTTCTAAAAATACCTAATTATTCTAGATACTTTATTCAAGAATATCACCAATAAGATAGTGTGTTCTCACCAATCACTGGCTTCACGTTGTGAAAACTTTGATCTAGTTCATTGTTCTTTTTGTGAAGATGATCATTTGCTGTTGGACAGGAGGACATGGATGCATTTGCAATAGAAGGGAAATCTTCCTGGTCAGATGATGGCTCTTCGGAGTTTACCGCGCCATACAACTGACTTGGTGTATCGCTTTCCTTCAAGAGAGGCTCATGCTCTCCATTTAGTGACGGTGTGTGGCATTCCGTGGAACGTCATAAAACATAAAAATGACCATGAATTGTATCAAAGCCCATAGAACACACATGAAGATCTGTAATGACAATAAGAAAAAAATGTTATATATATATATATATATATATATATACATATACATATACATACTGAAGTGAGGTTTTGTAACATAAAACATTTTTTACACTCCAGCAAGTAATATTTTAGTTATATGTAATGCCAGCTGGGCTGAGTCAGTTCTTATGATCACCTTGCCATAACTCTTAACTCTTCTCATATTTCCCTAAGAGTTGTAGGTGTTAACACTCACCTTTGTGTGTTCCAGAATCTTCTAATGCATTTTACATAAGGTAAAGAATCCAGCAGGAGGAAAAGGAATCCCTCACAATGGCCAGAGCAGGTGTGCAGATTCAAAACTAACACAAGGCACGCAACAACAAGTGAGAGATATGAGAGACTTCCAGGTGGTTCAACCTTTTAGTATCTATCAAAAACGAATAAGTTTTGGGTGGACTGAACTTTTAAGCAACCCACAGACAGAAACCAAATTTTCAATGACCAGAAAAGTTTATAAAATAAACATGCTAGTGTACGTTGAATGTTTCAAATAATTGCTCTTGCAGACAACCTTAATGTGCAATTTTTAAAAACATTTAACCTATGGAAATTCAAATAGCTTTTTCTGTTATGGACTTCTCCTGAAGGGTGTTTACATCATTTCTAAGGCCTCATGCACACCGAAGTATGAAAAAATGTTCCAAATATGCTGATGGAAGTTGGCCAAAAAAATGCCTCTGACGCCACATTTTTATGAGCGTATACATGCATACATTTGTGCGTTTACGTGCATATGAGTGTAAGCTGATTTTAATGTCTAGAATATTAATTTATTTTAGCCTCTAGGCTAAATATACATGCATAAGTGCAATTTTAGTGCTTATGTGTGTGCCTGTACAGGCGTAAATTACACTGGAAAACTCCTATGACTGCAGGTTTGAGGCAGTTTTTTATGTCCCTGAATACTGCGTTTAAATACACCTGTAAATGACCCAATGTGCATATGCACATTAAATAACCTAGAGCGGATTTCAGAGGCATAAAAAAAAAAGCAGTAGCATTTTTTCAACCGTGTGCATGAAGCCCATCAGCAGCAAAGAGGCTGTGGTTTATTTTATCAGAAAAAAAAAAAAAACATTACAGATATTAAAAAAAAAAAAAAAAAAAGGTATTCTGTCTTTAGGTGACCATAGATTTAGTGGTCGGTGGGACATGCAGGTACAATCTGCCAGAAGTGAGACCTTGCAAATTCATGTAAATCAACAGAAGAGGGGAGAAGCAATCAACACAGGTTTTCTATTCTACTCAAAAAATATAGACCCCTAGAGCTGTCAGCTCAGTGTGTATTTGCCTACCACCACAAACATGAGATCACCATGACAAACATGGCTGCATGAGGCATGATCTTCTCATGTCTATTGACTGCCTTTTTAGGATGCAGGGTAGGGCTGCTTAAATCACAGCACTCGGTACCTTTTGTCACTCTTATATAGGCCATACATGGTTCAAATTCTGTACGATTTTTCGTCCGAAAATCGCAAACGTTGTTCGCACAGTAATCCAATGGTGCCATCAATGATTTCTAAAAACGGCTGACCAAGTCATAAAGTTCACCTCATATAACAGGCGAAACTTCTGTTCCTTCCAGGTCACGGCTCATGCGCATATTCTTTTCGGAAAAAGGATTGTACGATTGGACCATCATTGAGTCGGGAATAGGTCGTTTTTCACAAATTTTCCAACATGCCCGATCACCGAAAAGGGGAGGAACCACAAAAATCGGCTGGTGCCATTGACCCACTAACAGAGCAAAAATCGTCCGATTATTCTTAGGTCCGATTTTAGGCCGAAAAATCGGTCGGATTTCGACCCATGTATGGCCGGGCCTTAGTCATGGCATGGCTTTCCGCACAGCAGACTAGGAGAAGTTACTGTAGTACCACAGTACCTAAGTTAAACTATGTCATGTTGTTTAGTACTTTGCCCCATGTTTTTAGGTGCTTCCGAAGTCTAGTTGTGAGGTCTGACCTATCTTCTTCCGCTCCCTAAGTTGAGACAACAGCTAGGAAGGAGACAAACTCATTGTCTGGGCTCTGAACACTTTGCCTAGACAAAGAGGAATGCAGAGGAAGGGAAGACATGTCAGCCTCCTGTCTCTGCGCACTCCTCGTCTGGGGAAAGCTACCATTATTATGAGATTGTCTCTGTAGTGGAGGTCAGAAATATTATATATTTTTTTAAATCAACAATCTGAAACGGTGTGTAAAGCAGTCATCTTATCTGCAGAATTGAGCAATGCCCACAGAGGGGGTAGGAGATGAGTCTAAACTCAGCAGGTAGCACAAACATTATTTTAGCAAGCACCTGGATAAAACCAGACACCTTGGCACCAGTAATTTGGTGCTGAGGCCTTGGCTGAATTCAGAGTACCATATAATATTCCTATTCTGAGTTGTTAGACTTTTCTAAGCTTCCCCCCAGTGATGGACAGAAGGGAGCTTATGTCTACAGATTCCACAAAAGGTGTTTAGGAATGTTGCCCTCATGGGCTGTATGTGACTTTCTGGACACTGGGACTGCTGGGACTTGCAGTTCCATATTGGCTGTGCTTACTGCCCTGTAGACTATTTCTCCTTGAGGTTCCACATTGTTACTCTGTGAACTATTTCAACTTTTTTCTCCTTGCTGTGTGTCTACTCCTCTAACAACTGCTACCTGCATGGTCTTGAAACTTAGGCCAGGACACCAAGCCCTCTGAGGATCCACCATCGTCCTGTGAAGGACCTTTGTTACCTGGACCTCCTCTCACCGCCACACTACCTAGGTCCCCTTGGCTGAGGTTGCTGTCAGCGGATTTTCCTACCTGCTCTCTCTTCAATGTGCCCATAACCCTCCTCAGAATACCCTGCCTGCCCTCTCTGCTGTGTGCCCAGAGTCCTCTACCTCTTTCCCTGCCTGCCCTCCTTGCTGTGTGCTCACAGCCCTCCTCAGATTGCCCTGCCTGCCCTCTCTGCTGTGTGCACAGAGCCCTCCTCGGATTGTCCTGCCTGTCCCTTCTGTTGTGTGCCCATAGTCCTCCATGGTTTACCCTGCCTGCCCTTTCCACTGTATGCCCAGAGTCCACCTCAGATTGGAATGCCTGCCCTCGTCTGCTCTGTGCCAAAGTCCTCCAAGGATTGCCCTGCCTGCCCTCTCTGCTGTGTGCCCAGAGTCCCCCCTGTAGCCCCCTGCCTGGATTCCCCGATGCCAAGCCCAGCAAACAACTACTCAAGAAAGTCAGATTTCCGCAGCATGAGTTTTTGAAAACTTCTGCCTCTTATCTTCCCATGCTGTGCCATAATACAGCTCCGATGATCATTTCCCCTGGCTGTGCCTTATTGCCCTGTAGACTGTTTCCCTTTTGCTGTGCTATATCTTCATGGACTATTAACCCTTGCTACTCTCCCTATGATCGTCTCCCCTTTTTGTGCCATATAGCTGCCTGTAAAATGTTTACCCATGCTGTTCCCATTACTACCCCTTGAACTGTTTATCCTTGCTCTGTCCATTGCAATCCCTAAACTGTTTATTTGTGCTGTGCCCATTCCTACCCCTTGAACCATTTATCAATGCTGTGGTCATTGCGACCCATGACCTGATTATTCATGCTGTGCTCATTGCTACCCCTTGGACTATTTATCCGTGCTGTACCTATTGCGACCCATGACCTGTTTATTCATGCTGTGCTCATTGCTAACCCTTGGACTATTTATCCGTGCTGTACCTATTGCAACCCATGAACTGTTTAATCATGCTGTGCTCATTGCTACCCTTGGACCATTAATCTGTACTGTGTCCATTGCAACCCATGAACTGTTTATTCATGCTGTGCTCATTGCTACCCCTTGGACTATTTATCCGTGCTGTACCTATTGCAACCCATGAACTGTTTATACATGCTGTGCTCATTGCTACCCCTTGGACTATTTATCCATGCTGTACCTAATGCAACCCATAAACTGTTTATACATGCTGTGCCCATTGCTACCCCTTGGACCATTTATCCATGCTGTACCTATTGCAACCCGTGAACTATATATTCGTGCTGTGCCCATTGCTACTCCATGAACGGTTTATCTGTGCTATACCTATTGCAACCCGTGAACTGTATATTCGTGCTGTGCTCATTGCTACTCCGTGAACAGTTTATCCGTGCTGCGCCCATTGCTATCCTTTGAACTGTTTATCCATGCTGTGCTCATTGTGAGCCGTGAAATGTTTATTCGTGCTGTGCCCTTTGCTACTCCGTTAACCGTTTATGTGTGCTGTGTCATATCGCTACCCTGGGGACTGGTTCTCTGTGCTGTGTCCTAACGCCACCTCTCCCATACACCCAGGTTAGTCTATATATGCCTGTGCATCAGATGCCATGTGATTTGCCTCTGCGTGCTCTCTTTCTGCATTTCTAGCTCATCACAGTCTGCTTCCTAGTTCTTGTCGGATTTGCCATGGGGGGAAGGGAGTGGGCAGGTCAGATCATAGAACTAGATTTATGTAGCACATAGCAACATGGGACAAAGTACTACATGTACATTGTCCCATGAGGGGCAGAACGGGTTCAAAATTTTAAGAATTGTTCTTAAGTTTTCCGCTTAGTGATAGAGATAAAGAAATCCTAAAAAGGTGTCCTTACTAGTTTTATATTGTTTCCAATTTATCCTTTAAAAGAAGTCATGCTAAATATTGCTGATGCAGAATTACAGAGGGCGGGGTTAAATTTCAATGGTTATAATAAAAGTGGGACATCAATATTATCTGTATTTTATATAAATGATGGCATTCTTGCCTGTTCTCTCAAGGACAAAGGTTAAAGCCCTGCTCCACATTTAAAAATATATGATCGTGTCACAATCATGGGTTACATAGGAGCAATAGAAAATGTATGCCGTACATGAAGATCTTATTCTACACGATTTACGAGGTTTTGAAGTGAACAAAGCTATAGCAAGGAGTGGCGATATACAGATATGTCCAAGTAAAAAG